AGTGCATGGAAGTGGGTGTGCATACATGCATGTACATGTGCAGCAGTGTGTGTGCTTATGTGCATGCATGTGCATGGAAGTGTGTGTCTACACGTGCGTGTGAATATGTGCATGCATGTGTGCATACATGCACCTAGGTGGAGGTGTGTGCGTGCATGTGTATTGAAATAGGTGTACGCATGTGCATGCGCACGTGCATACCTGCACATGTGCACATGTGCACATGACTTTGGGCTCCTTGGCCACTGTGGTGGCCTTTTGCAAGTGCGCTGGCCTGGTGGAGGCTGCTGTGCGGTGAGTTATTGAAATAGGTGTACGCATGTGCATGTGCACGTGCGTACCTGCACGTGTGCCCTGTGCCCTGCACATGTGCACATGAGTTTGGGCTCCTTGGCCACTGTGGTTGCCTTTTGCAAGTGCGCTGGCCTGGTGGAGGCTGCTGTGCGGTGAGTAACCACTGCCCTGTCCTTGTCCTTGTCCCTGTCCCTGTCCCTGTCCCTGTCCCAACCACCCTGCCAAGGAAGTGAGTCACACACAGTACCGGGGCTGCTGGGGACACCCACGGCCGCGTTGTCCCCACGATGCCATCACCGAGCACGGTGCCTGCTGGCCACAGGCCCTGCAACCCCACAGTGGCCGCCCCACACTGGTACATCTGCCTTTACACAGAGCAGGGGGACTGCTTTTCCTGGGAAAGCAGGAAAGGCCATCGGCACTTTGGCAAGTGACCTCTAGCGGACACGGCCCTCTTGGGCTTGTGGGGCTGGATGTCCCTGGTGCTTCCCGCAGCCCAGGAGCAGCGCGTGCTGTAGGTGGAGGCGAGCGGCTAGAGATGGCCAGCATGGGGACAGCATCCCTGGATAGGCAGGAATGTGCATCCTGTGCCGGGACAGAGCAGGGTGCTGGGACAGAGCAGGGTGAGGGTGCTGCACAGGAGCAGGGTGCTGGGTACCAACAGGAACCAGCTGCTTCTCCATCGTGGCCCGAGGTCCCCATAGCAGGATGTGTCCCCGCTCCTCTGCCGCCCTTCTCGGTCCCTCCAGCCATGGGGACACATGTGGGGACGGAGCCCTGGGAGCGCAATGCCGGGTGCCGCATGCCGGGTGGCATCCGCGTTACCCCTGCGCGCTTGTGCACCCGTTGCAGTTCGCCCAGTACGCCGAGATCGTGAACTTCACGCTGC